AAGGCTTTAAGCTTCACCTCACCAATGGGAACTGAGATAGAGATGGAATAAACTGCCTGTGGCCAGAAAAGCCCAAGCCGGAAACATCCCAGGCACCAGGCAAACATTTAACACCCTTGTTCCAAGTACTAACAAAAGGATCAAAATAAAGAGTGCCTTACCTTCCTCTGTGTGTCATCAGATGCAGTAAGGAAAAGCGAGGGGAAGGAAGAAAAACAGGGTAAATTGGTTAGATTTAACAAAAATCTCAATTTCCACAGTAAGACTGCTCCCTGCCTGGCTGTGTCCTTTGGCATCAGGCTCCTCTCAGAGAAAAGATCCTGAGAGAGCTCCAGAAAGGGGACCAGCTTCTCAAGTGGGATGCAGATAAATCCAGTCATCTGGCCCCTTTACCTGGTGAAGCCCTCATCCTGCAGGTTCAGTACCAAGTTATCTGCTGTGAGATACACACGGTTTTGTGAGCCAGCAATCTGAAAAAGAAATCCATTACAGAGACTGCAAAAAGGAATATAAATGCACATGGAGGAATAACACTAATTAAAAAAAAAACCAAACAACCTATCTCCCCCTCCAGACACAGCACTCTTGTGTTACTCAAGATCTCAGTTAAATCAAGGCAATTCCCCCAAACAACTCTTAACTTCCTGACGTTCCATCCCAGTGCCATCAGACTTTCTAAAAGAAGTGCTCACTCGGTGTCTCTGTCAGAAAGACCTTTGGTCCCACGCTTATCTGTCCCCCTTTCTCAGCATGCAGGAAGCCAGGAGCTTTTGGTGGCTGCAGCCGAGTGTGGGAGATGGAATCTGATGTGGATCTGGTCTTGTCATATGGGGGCCACGAACTCCCAGCCTCACATCTAATTGCCGATCACTGCAAGCTAAATCTTAAGTGCTACTCGAGCAGAGAAGAGCTGGGCAGGAGCAAAGGTCAGGACAGGGCAGGTCACATTCGCCTTAAATTCATCATGTGGCCACTGGGCTGGGGGAACAGCACAAGGACTGCAAAAGGATGAAGAAAATTCCGTGCCCCGATGCTCACCGTTTTTGAGATGTTTTGAGCAGCTCGGATTTTACGTAGCTTGATGTAGCCTGGATTCCTGCTGAGAGCTTCACCGAGGTACCGGGGAGCAAAAGTTAAGGGAAAAACTGCTAAAAGAAGCCATCTACCCTCAAGGAATCCTTCCTAAGCCACACCATCAAACATCTCAGGGGGAAAAAGCAGTCTCTATGCCAATAACATGAGCCTTCGGGGAAACATATTTTCACTTCCCCAAATCAAGAGCAACATTATGGATTATGGTCGCACACAGTCAAGAGAAGTTAAACCTTACAACAGGGAGTGAAGGCTCATGGTCTCCTCCGTTCTGACCTGTTACCTCAGTCAAGCCTCGCTCCAGCCAACTTGGGGGAGGGTGGTGGTAACATATAAATGACGGTGACCGACTCGAAACTACCATCTGGTAACAATCTCCTCAGCACGAGCCCTGCGTGACAGATTCTCGGGACTGTCAAGCTCACAAGCCACATCCCACAAAATCTCCCACAGCAGGATATCATCTTGGCAGCTGTAGCTTCCCCTTCAGCCTGAACAATCTTCTGTTTCTGCTCCTGCTTGGCCTTCTCCACCAAAAACTGGGCGCGCTGTGCCTCCTGCTGGGCTGCAGAAAGAATGGCCAAAACCACTGGAAACAGATCCCATCTTCTGAGCCCTCCACCAGAACCCCAGAGCTGAGGCCTGGGGGCTCTGCTTCCGAAAGAACCGACAGCATTCTGGGGCCATAACCACAAGTACAAAATGTATCTGAGTCTACCTTCCTTTTTTTTTGTAAGTAAAATCAAAACCATCCAGAACTTCTACACATAATCTCCATAGTGAGTCCCAGTCTGAAGAGGAACCAGTCTTGGGAACTCAGTCCCTATGATGGTCTATCCCATTAGCTATGACCCAAAGTTTTCTGGTAATACCTGTAAAATAACCTGTTTAGCTTCATTACTAAGGAGGCTGAGATTTATAGCTCTGTAGCTGTACCAGTGCAAAAGCAACGTCACACTAGCCCAAATTCCACTTCCTTGTTCAATAATTTAGTGAAAAGGCAATCCACCTTTTTTGGGAATAAATTGAACTCACCCACTTGCTTAGCTTCCACAGCTGCTGTGTATTCACGACTGAAACTAAGCTCTGTGATAGCCACATCATCCAGGATGAGGCTGAAATCCTTGGCTCGCTCTGTCAGTTCTCGCCTAATGAGCAGAGACACCTGAAACACAAATATAGCAAAAAAGAGTATCAAACACAGGCTGTTTCTCACTTCTTGTGCACTTCAAAAGTGAAGCACAACTGCTCTTCACAGTTCGTTTACACCGGGCCCAAAAGATTACCCAACACAAACCCTGAACATCAATATCACCTCTGAATCTGCTACCTCTGAATAATGCTGCACATCCATAGCTATGTATATTTTCAAAAGTGTATTACAGCTTATTTATAGTTATTACCTAACCACACTATATAACTAATATTGCAAAAAATAATAAAAAAAAAAACAAACAAAACACCTTACTGAAAGGTTTTTTTGCTTTCACATCCTACCACATCTAGCTCCACAGTTCCCACACGTTTTGGCATTAAATATTTCCTTCTCCACCTGGAATTTGCCAGTTTGTGGTTTGACCGTCTCCTCATATTTGTATTCAGATGCCACAGATCATGCTTAATTACTGTAACTACTTGTTTAGTGTGGCTACTCCACATTTTGTAGTCTCTCTGGATGAGTGTCGTTGGCAGACGTTTTGATTTATTCTACCTTTAACTTGCCAGTACCTTTTTTCAGGTAGGCTGATAAATCCCGCACCAAATATTGACTTAAATGGAAACTACTGTTACAGTATCACAACTGACCAGTCTAGCATTCACTTTTACTTTCACTGCAGCTGTTTCAGAGCAGAATTTTAAAATGATGCCAGAAACCTTCACGGTGTGAACTGTGAGTACCTAACTACGTAAAGTCACTTCATTTTCTTCTGATTATCAACTGCTTCAATAGGCATCACTTTACAGTCATGAACACTGGATGATTATGAGACAAGAACGGAAAATCAGTTCAGTTTGTTCAGAAGTTTCAAAGATACGTAACAGTCATCTTTGCTTACGATAAACATAAATCCCTTGCAGACATTGCTTCTTTGCTGTCACATCCTCCCTTTCCATTAATTCTCTTTATCCAATTCCATTAACAACATCCTTCAGTGCACACCAGGAGGCCTAGCACAAAACCCTGTGGTTCCTGCTATGAATTAGTTCTCAAAACAAGACCTGGACACCTAGTTCTACTTTTTGCCTTTTTTGTGATGGATCAGAAACTAGTTAAGAGATGCTTTGCATTTCATCTGACAATTTACCCTCTTTAGCAGTCTCATACAAGATCTTGTCTAAAGCCTTTTAAAAGAAGACCAGCAACTTCTCTCTCCCTCAGCTGTGACAGGCAAGGAATATTCTCAGAATCCCCGGCCATCAAATCATCAGAACACAAGCCTTCAGACACAGGCTTTTTAAACCTAAACATTTCTATTATTTTGCAAACCTGCCAGATTACCTTCTGATCTTTTTCTAAACAGAAATATTTTCTATCCTTCTGTAGCATCTATTACTGAAACTTTACTGCTTTGTTAACTACTCATCCACTTCGTTTTTCAAGTCCTTTGAAACTGTTTAATTTGCTCTGACAGCTCTTTTGATACCCATGAGGGGCCAGCTCATTTTTTTAAAGGCAGTTCTACTGTTACCTATGGACTATGATGTAAAGGAGCTCTCCCTCCCCCGTCATTACATTATGGTGCAATTTTACATTCTATATACCAACAAATCCAGTTTTCTTCTCAGAAGCTAGTGATACAGCCTTAGTGTTTGTAGCTGTATTAGAAACAAAATTTAAGTGGGATACAGTTCCATGCCCTTTTCATTCGACGCACCACCTACCAGCCTAATACATTCATCTAACATTCCTCACAACCGCTGTTTAGTTGTTTCTTTGTAATCTGAGTTTAAGTCTCCTCCACGAGAGTTTACCTGGGCTCTCTGAGTGATGAGCTGCGAAGCGTTAAACTTGGCTACCACGCTCTTGAGCACTTCGTTAACAATGGAAGGCAGGACTCGCTCCTCGTAGTCCAGGCCCAGGCGCTGGTACATGCTGGGCAGCTCGGCAGCATTAGGGCGCGTGAGAACACGCAGCGAAATGTTCACCATCTGCAAATCTGAAGAAGAGAGGGATGAGAAGGGCCAGCGCAGCAGCCGGACCCCTGTCCCCTCCCGCCTCGCAGGCGCCGCCTGGGCCTCGCGCTCCGGCCTAAGGGGCCGCTCTCACCTTTGGAGCCGGTGGGGGAAGAGATTTTCCGGGGCCGGGCTCGAATATCGTAGATGATGGGGTACTGGAACCAGGGGATCCTGCGAGGGGCGGGAGGCGCGTTACGGCGCGGGCACCCGCAGCGGCTGGGGCCGGGCTCAGGGCGGGGGAGGTGGCCTTACCTGAAATGCAGCCCCTCGGCGAGGATGGTGTCCTGCTGGACGCCGCCGATGCGGTTGAAGAAGATGGCCCGCTGGCCGCCCTCCACTGCGGGGAGAGAGGGGGCACGGTCAGCGCGGGAGGCGGAGGAACCGGGCGCGGGAGGCGGAGGAACCGGGCGCGGGAAGCCCGGGGCGGTGTGTGGGGGTGTGGGTGTGTGTGTGTTTGGGGGGGTTACTCACCGATGAAGACGGACTCGCGGACGCCGTAAGCCAGGGCGCCGGCGCCCAGCAGCAGCTTGAGAGCAGTGCCGACGCCGCGCGGCCCGGCCGGCAGCCGCCCCGCCAGGTCCTTCAGGTTCTGCGCCATGGCCGCGCCGCGCCGGGAAGGACAGCGGAAGCCGCCCTCCCGCCAAGGCGCTCCGGCGGGAAACAGCGGCGCGGAAAACGTCGTCCCCCCCCCCGCTTCCACCTACCGCCTTCCGGCGCAGCCCGCGCGGCGATCCGGAAGTGGGGCCGGCCGGAGCCAGAGAAGGTTGCGCGTTCCAGGCGGCATCTTGGGCGGTCGGTGTCTCCCGGCGACGTGATCCCGGTGCCGCGTGTGGCAAAATGGCGGCGCCCAGGCGGCCTCGCGAGGGGGAGGTTGTGGAAGACGCTTCGCCGGAGGTGAAGCGGCCCCGCGGGCAGAAGCGGCTCTTGGTGGTGCTGGAAGGGGCGAGTCTGGAGACGGTGAAGGTACGGGCGGCAGCAGGTCTGGCCGAGCCGAAGGCGGCCGCGGGGCGCCCTTGCCCACCTGTCTGTGCTTTGGCCGTAGGTGGGGAAGACGTTCGAACTTCTCAACTGCGACAAGCACAGAACGTTGCTGCTGCGGAACGGCCGGGACCCCGCGGAGGTGCGGCCCGACATCACCCACCAGGTACCGGCGGGATCCGGGCAGCGTCTGTGCCGGCCCAGGCGGCTTTGGGGGGTGGCGGAGCAGCCCGGCAGCCGGCTTGAGGAGGTTCCCCCTCAGGTCTAGGGGTCTGCTTGTGCCCCTGGAAGAGGGGCGAGTTTGGCCTTACCCGTTACGCTTGTGGGTTTTTAAGTTTATTTGGGTATGGGATTGCTTTTGGCATTACAGTAGAACTTCCATAGTCAAGCTGAACTCCTTTCTGTCTCAACATCTGCCCCTTCTGCACTCGTGGGGCCTAACCCTCAACTTTTCAAAGACCCCTCTCTTTTATGCCTCTTCTATTTCCACTACTGGGTGTTTTTCTATTTCAGAGTCTTTTGATGCTCATGGATAGCCCACTGAATCGGGCTGGCCTCCTGCAGGTTTATATCCATACCCAGAAGAATGTTCTAATTGAAGTCAATCCCCAAACCAGAATCCCAAGAACTTTTGATCGATTCTGTGGTCTCATGGGTAAGTGAATCAAACTTTACATCAGCCACAAAATAATGCAGGAAGGTGATCAGGAGCGAAAGAACTTCGGGAAGAGTCAAAAAGTTGCACCAACTTTAAAAATGTGGAAGTGAGAAAAGAACAGAGAAGTAAAAATGTCTTTTAGTGAGTTCCAGGATGCATAGTCCAACTGTGTGTTCCTTAGCACCATGGGGAATGCTTGCATGGGACTGCTAACAGCAAAATAACTCATCGCTCAGTAATTTTTAGGACTACTTTAGATGGTGCTGGGAACTCTAAAGGTGGACTTTTTGTCTGCTTCAGCTCTGATCACTAGTTAGAGGATAGGATTCCTCCAGCAAGAAAACAGACAGCTTAAGTAATTTTCTTCTCTCATCAGTTCAGTTGCTGCATAAGCTCAGCGTTCGCGCAGCTGATGGGCCTCAGAAATTGTTGAAGGTAAACATTCTTTGACTGTTCAGAGGTAATGCCACAACATTCCTCCTTTGCAGCTAGGGATGTAGGAGTGATTTTTGAATTTTTTTTTTTTTTTTTTTTTTGCAAACAATGGACTTAGCTATGTGCCAGAGTCTTTTACCTCTACACCTCTATTAACTTTCTGCTTTCTGTAGGTGATTAAAAATCCAGTCAGTGATCATCTCCCTGTTGGCTGTATGAAGATAGGTACCTCTTTTGCAGTTCCAAAGGTGTCAGATCTGCATGAACTGGTTCCTACAGCAGAGCCAGTTGCCATTGTTGTGGGAGCTTTTGCTCATGGTTCAGTAAGTGCATGTATCCCTTATTTGAAGTTGTAAGAATATTTAACAGCGCAGATTTCAGTCTTGTTCCAAGTATGTTTTGATTCTGACCATTTTTTGGCTTGGTCTCCCCTGTCCCACCCTCACCTTTCTTTCCCTGAAGTAGGCTTGTTAAAAAAAGGCCCAATGTTGGAACACTTGGGAATTTTCTCCCTCCCAAAAGAGGGCACTAGTGAGGTCTAGCAGTTCTCCTGCTGGAGAAATGCTGTGCCTCCCCAAGCAGTGGAGATAGATGGGACTAAGTGAAAACCTGCAGCTTAATTTTTCTCTCTTTCCCCAGGTCAATGTTGACTATACAGAAAAGATGGTTTCCATCAGCAACTATCCCCTCTCTGCTGCCCTGACGTGTGCTAAAGTTACTACTGCCTTTGAGGAAGTCTGGGGAGTAGTATGAGCTTCTGCTACTGCTGTCATGGTAGACTCCTATACAGTAACTCCATATTCTGGAAAGGCTCTTTTATTTGGGTGTGGACCTGGTGCAACTTTGGGCTCCTAGAAGGGAAGAGGCATCAGTTTCATCCTTGTAGCTTCTGGATCAATGAGACTTCAAATGGCCTGCCCCACTGGCCCTTTTTCCTCCTATTAAAGGTCACTTTTCACAAGAGTGCTTGTGTATTTTGCTTCCTCATGTTCCATGCATGGGCAGGCTCGGTCCCTTCACAGCAGGAACTCGGACCAAATTTGTCACGGAACTGAAATTCTTAGCTGCACCCAGCTCACGCTGCAGCTGATGTTGCTCAGTCCTGTAGAATCACTTTGCTCGGTGGTGTGTGACAGTTCACACTCCTGCACCAAGGCACCCAAGAGGAAAGGAGATGAAGCCAATATGAAAAAGACCAGGAGCAACTTTTATCTTGGATGACAAACGTAGAAAAGTCATAAGGTAGCTCCAAACCAATACAATGCCTGCCTTGAGTGTTTTACAATCATCTGATATCAGCAGAGACATGAGTGTCCAACTGGAGGGCAGTAGAGAGATAAGGCAACATACAGAAGGTGGAGGATCTGGAAGGAGGCTCACTCCATTCCCCCCCTTTCAGGTCTCTGACCCTGTGCTTTCTTTCCCCCCCCCTCCTCATGTTGAAAAAAGTCATACTTCAACACAGAAGACTTGGCAAGTGATGCTTTGCTTCTGGAGTGTCAAACCAACTCCTACAAATGCACAGGTGGTACAATCTGAAAAAGAGAAAAGTGCTAATTTGCTTTGGTTGATTTTGATGGTTGCCTTGCACCTTGGGATGTAACACTGCTGCCCCACTTCACCTCCTAGTCCAAGTGTGGGATTCTCTCTACCTAGTACAGCCTTACCTTTTGGCTGTTACTCTGCTTTTTTTAGCTTTTCTTTTCGTGGCACCATTAATCTGCGAATGTAAGGCAACACCAATAGTAAGGTGAAGAACAACACATGGCCCAAGAAATAAATAGACCTGTACACCTGTAAAGAGAAAGGGAGGGTTAAGGATCAGCAAGCAGCTTGGAGCCAAGAACATGAGACAGGAGGGAGGGAAAAGGGTTGGTTGCATGGCTTGTCTGTTTGTGGCTACTAAATACCTTCATCCATTTGTCCCAGGTGAAAAGGCAAAATGGCACTAGAGAGTAACCCATAAACATCCAGTGGTTAGCCTGCTGCAGCACGTAGAAAATGGGCTGCAAGGCAGTGATGGAGGCCAAAGTGTTTAGGGGAGGACTGTCCCGAACAAGGTTTATGACCTAATTTAAAGAAAAAAACAGAATTCTCATCAGTTGGATGTCCTGTTGCTATGTATGCAGGCTCTGGGGCCAAAGTTAGCTATCCAGCTGAGTAAAATGAATTTTAGTAAGCCATTAGTCTAAAAAAGTAACTAAGTACACCACCCTGCTCAAAGTTTTAATTAAAAAACCCCGATGGTTTAAATGGGATATTGTTCTCTCAGCACTGGGAGATTTAGCGGAGGCATTTAGCTTACATGCTTGCCCTCCAACCTTTCCAGCTGCCAAGTACTTCGGTTGCCCTCTACCGATAGGCCAAGTTCTCTACTTTTCTTCCTGTCAGCTTCTGCAATAACTTTATGGCTTGCCCATGCAGAAGCCAGCAACCGACTGAACTCTTGAAAACAGAACTGTATCACGTTTGAAGACCAATTCCAAAGCGAGCAGCTATTTTTCATGTTTAATCCAAGTAAAGCCTTGAGGGTGGCAGTTTCCAGACTCGCAGGGAAAGGCTAACACAGGCCACCCCATTCGGGTAAGTCAGACAAAGCGCACCTGTCTTTCAACGATGACTATGAGCAACTCCATTTGAAAGCACACCAGGTAGCCAGAGTGCAGCCCGTGCCAAATGGCCAGGAAGAACAGGGCCAGTGCCTGTGACAGCAGTTTGTTACCCAGGAACTTCAGGCGCTTGAAGATGTAGCTAGAGCAGAAAAGAAACAAACTCAAAGTGCTTCTAGTTTATTGTCTGTCCCCCCCTCCCTCCGTATCAGAGATGCAGGGCCCAGAGGACTGTATGCCTTTGCACGCCCTGTGGTGACAGAAACAGCAAGGTGGCTCCCCTTCCTAGGGCAAAATGTACTTCGGTCCTTGCCTTACAGAAATCTCAGCTAACGGGAAGAAGTGGTTCGTCCAACACCACAGAGGAATATTTTACAACTCAGTTGTGTGTCCCAGCAAGTGCCGAACCAAAACCTGGTTGAGTCATTGCACAGGGAGCATCAGGAGGTGTGATGTAGGAGCCAGCTGTTAGATCAGTTCTGTGGCCCTTTGGCCAAGCAGGCCAAAGGGCTTGCTCCAGTCCCATTCCAGCCTCTGACCTCCTCCTGCCATCAACTGCTTGCCTATATTAAGGAGCTTCCCTTTTAGATTGAACGAAAAGACCTATCTTAACGCAGTAACCTGTTTCAAATGACACAGCAGCAAAACACAGAAGAAAGAATGCAAGAATAGAAAACTGGCAGATTCTTCCTCTAATGCTCCCTCTCAGCCTAGGATCTTGCTTCTGTTGACACAGACATTACCGACACATTAAAGAAGGGGAATTTTGCCCTGCTCACCGGGCCACCCAAGCATTGGTGTTGATGTTGAAAGAAGCAATGGTCCCTGTGAACAAAGGTGTTGTCTCATACAGCCAGACCTTCATGTTGGCACAGGCATCCCACAAAGGCTTTCCACTCTGGTCCTTCCCATTGTACCCCAGACCAACAAGGATGCAGACACCTTCCTATGGAAAAAGATTCATGAGAGGAAAACATTGCCCCTGCTTTTTTTTTAAGAAAGGCAGAGCTGGGGAAGCTCTGACTCTCACTGTGTTGAGGGGAGAGCACCACTGCGGATGGAACAAATGGATTCAAAACTGCCTGCTTTTTAGTTAGCTAGTCTTTGCTAACTTAAAGCAAGCTAAACTGACCTGCACTGATCTCTAGATATTTGGATTACTTCCATTTAGTGCTAAGTCCAAGAGCATACGAAGTAGCTGCAAAGGTGTGACCTTTGTTCGTTTGTCTTTTGTTTCTGGTATAACATCTAGACTCACCGTAACAAGCCAGCAAGTTACGTATTTGTAGAGTATAATTTTGCCCCAGATCAATATGTAACCACAACGGAACCAGAAAGGCTTCTCCTGCAGAGATAAGAGTGAAATAGAATAAAAAATAAAAATAAAAACCAGGCAATAATGAGACAAGGCAGATGAGATCTCATCACTGATGATGATGATGATGTTTTAATCTGATGTATGTGTTGAGACTGCTATAAGGAGTGGGCTGCCAGGCTATTGGCTTATGCAAATTTACACACCATTCTCCTTTCTTTGGTAATAGTTGGCTGTACCAAAATAGGTACTTTGGGAAGACTCTGGGATTAGCATAATCATTGTGAAATTTACACCCTCATTTATTCATACTGACACAGAAACACTGACAATCTGCAGGTAGGAATTACTTGTTAGGAGTTTTCTAAGAACCTCAAAGGTTCTGATAAGCCTTGCAAGTTACTCTAGTGAAGTTCTTTGCAATGGTTAAATGGAAGGTCATTAAAATGTCACAAAATACATACGTTCGGTTTCCAAAAACAGCAGCAGTATCTAAGATTAATTCTCTATCTGTAAAATGTTTCATTTGGTTTGGTTCATCTTAACACATTCCTGTACTGCATTAAATGGAACCCACAGGACAGGCAGTAAAGCCAAATCAGTTGTGGAAAGGCTTATCACTAGCTGCTGACTTATTTTTAAATTGATGCAAAACTGAAAAAAAAAAAAATCCACTCTTGTAAATCAAGATCTCCCACCAGAGAAGTGGAATTCTTCCACACCCCGGAACTTCCAAATGAATACATACCATGTAATCATCTGAGATGAGGTATTCATCAGAAATGTACAGGCTTGACAAGGTATAGGTTACTAGAAACAAGAGACCCAAACTCAGGCGCTTGAGAGCAGGCACAAAACTGAGAAAGAAAAACATGAAGGTCAAAGAAAAACCTTGGAAAGAGCCTCTCAAACTCATACTTTTATAAACAGAAGTGGAAAGAGGAGGTAGGAGAGATAGCAGTAGGGAGTCACCATGTTCCACTGCTGCAGAGGCCTCCATTTGGAAGCTGGGATGCTAATATTACCAGGTTGGGACCAAGTATATACTAAAGATGTCAACGATTCATGCCCTGGAACAATGATAGGACATTAAGCAGAGAGTTACGAGCAACTTTTGAAAGACTGCCTTGTCTTATAGATCACTTCTGGTCACTTTAGAGTCCAGGTAAAAAGGCACTCTGCTGCAGGGAACATGTGGAGGATTCAGCATTCTGGGATCTTCAGAAGGGGAGGAGCTGAGTAGCTTTTTATTACCTATTGGGTCTCTGGCCTTGAACGTCAGTCATCTCACCCCTTGCCAGTTTCTGATAGTCTGTCATGGAGAACTGAGGCCCCACCATGAAGGCACCATAGAAATAGGAAAATCCTGAGACCTCCAGCAGGGTAGGAACTCCCCGGACAGCAAATCGCCGCTGCTCAGGTGTCAGGAACTCCTGCACCAAAGGGAGTGGCGTTAACATCATCCTAGGGGATCTCACACTAGCTCTGGATGCTATGTTCTCTGCCTGCCTCCTTAATGGTTTCAGTTCTTGCTCTCCATGCATAGGGAACTTTCCACTTTGTATTTCACACCCATTCCTCTCCCCAGCCTTCTATCTCCACTCCCTCTAAGTAGCAACATCCAGTGGTTGAGACCAGATGCACAGATCTCTATTCACAAACGAACTCAAAACACGGAGGGGATCTACTGACATGCATCCCTGTCAGCATAGTAAGAGCACTGTATCTGACCCATTCCAGTCCGTGACTGCAATTGCATGTACTCTCCCAAGACCTGATCACCCTACAATTCCTACTTTTTGATGCAAGAACTGATTGTCTTTAAATAACTGAAACTTCAGCTTAGGGAATTTCAGCTCAACCCTATTTTCTTGCAGTCAGCAGTGATTTCATGGATGCTGAAGACTCAGTCAGGCCCCAAACAGGGGCGATGGGAAATGCAGATACTTGAAGTAGGATTAAGAGACTGTAGCAAGTGTTCTGCCCTCTCCCACACATTGTGCTGTGCAACTTCTCCCACTGTTTCATCTGCTCTAAAA